GAAACATTTTTAAAATTAAAATATGCATAATATTGCATTTTATTATTTACCTACATAAAATGAATGCTGAAACAACGTAAATCCTTGACAAACTATATTTCAAATAAACGACAGAATAAAGTTCGGATATGTTATAAATTTTAAAAAATAATCCTTCTTTCGTACCTAATGAAAATATTTCAATAAGGACACAGAACCTTTTCATAAGATATTTTAAAAATGTTATTATCAAATATATTTAACTAGATATTTTTTTTCCATGAACATAATAATATAAAGAAGGTACATTTTATCGTTGACTACAATCCACTAACAATTGTTTCGACTTTCAGATTGCTGCTTATACAAGTGAATGAGTATGATGATATCATGTTTTATTTAAATTTAATATAATTCTTCGCAAATATGGATTTCAATTCATATGTTAACTTTTTACAAATTTATAATATTGACATATTATGTGATTTATATTATTTTCGGAATAACATATAATATAATATTTCGTAACACATGGTCATAAAAAAATATTACAAGGTAAAATGCATAGTATACTATTTCTAGTTTTCAAATTTAAAATTTTAGGAACATCATTAGCTGTTTTTACAAAATTGACATTTTCAGTTCTGTTAAAAAAAGAATAAAAATGATAAATACGTCTTACCTAATATCTACTCACTTTTGTTATTAAAAATTATACGTTAAGTTAAAATACATTTATTTTATATTTATAAAAATTAATTTATTCACATATATTATACCGCAAATATTATAGATAGAAGCTAGTTTGTGATTATATTTATTAAAATATTAATAATAATTTCATGAAAATTATTATTTACTATACAATCACCATTATCATTATGATTAGTATTTTTGTTAATTAATTTTTTCAAGGGAAAAACATTGAATGTTTAAATTGAGATTTCTACCGAAACATGAAATTTCTATTAGATATACAACTAAACTTTGTGTTATCCATATAATTAACTATGTAAAATATGTTACATAGTCATGTTTAGTATGAAGAGCTAAATGTGTTAAAGTATTTATTTTTAGTTACAAAATATTTATTTTTTCTACTCATTTCGAAATCCCTTCTTTTGTTTTCTTCTTACACGCCGAGTAAGCTTCAATAATTGATTATAATTATTATAATTTTATGAAATTAAATGTTTTTAAGGAATAACGTTATTTTTATTACAGTTAGGAATATGGAATTAAAAGTATTCAGTAAAGGTGAGTAATTATTTATTAAATTATAATAGTTATTACTTAATGCAACCAATAATACGTGTAAATACTTTTTACGTTAAGATATTTGATATTTTAAACGGAGGTTCGTTAATTAACGTTATTTGTCTAATTAGATAAAGTATTAAAATATTGATTGAGAACATTTTTATAAAAATGGATGGGTTTTTTTTTTTTTTTGTTAAGTATAGAAATTGGTAGTTATGATTTTAAATCATAAGAATTTGCAAGTACTAACCGAAAACGTAAAGCTCAGAGTATGCAACGATTTTTACGTGTTTTATTTAGTTTGGTAACACAATCGACGTTTTCGATACGTAAAACAATACCCTACACTGTCTAATTGTCTCTAATATTTTTCTATGACTCCTTAAAAGACTGTAAATTTAAGCCGCGCACTCGCCGTTGTAATATTATGTGGTAGGATTAGGTGCTTTGGGTTGGCGAACGATCGCACGACATTGCACGATACTCGAGTGAAACGTGTATAACGTTACACGTGAAAATTCTTCTTCATACGTCTCAAATGAATACTTTCAAGTGACGGCACGAAACGACGCCGGTACGACAATCGCCGAAAAGTATTTGAACGGCTGCATCCGAACCTGAAAATCGACATACTGGTTGGTTCCCGATATTCCACGCAGCACACGTCCGGATCGGTTCACGATAAAGACTTTCGTAAAAAGCGAAAACCGTCTAACATTTTCACTCGTATATTCGTACGCTATAAAATATTTCCCAGTTTTTTTTTTTTTGTGCTTATTCTTATTGTCGCCTGGAAAAGTTGCTACACTAATAATTCGATGTCATTAAAACCGGTCAATGAAAAGCTTGACGAAGTTCCTTCGTGTACTAGATAGAATTATGTCGAGAGAGATAGCTCATTTCCGCCAACAATGTGGTCTGAATGTACAAATAGAGTATAACGAACAACTAACTGCTGTCAATCGTTTCACACCGAGTTCGCTTCTATTCCGCACATCCGAACATCTTACAGTTCATCGGAGTGCAAAAAGAAGTCCGAATCGAAACGTAAAACCGCGAGTTACAGACAAACTACAGCATCATAAGTCTTAAAATAAGGAGATAAGTATAAAAAGAGAAATAGTCCAACATAAAAATAATGAAATAAATAGATAAGAATTAATGAAGAATTTTCGCTATACATTTTTATCTCGATGATACATAATTAAAACTTAAAATGGACTAGTTAAAAAAAAAGATGTTTAACTAAAAATAAAAATGACATATGTAAATATTATGACAATAGTCATAGTTTTAAACCGTATCCGGATAATATGTGGACAATCCTAAATCTGTATAAAATGAAAAGAAAAATTGAAAAGGTTTTCACCCGGGAACTCGAAAACTAATTCGGATATGTCTTTGTAACAACCCGGGAACCGATTCGGATACATCGATTTTTACATATCGATAAGCTGGTTAGCGAATAATTCATTTCGATGTTTATCAATAATATTATACCGGTTCTTGCAGTCTTTATGCATATTTCGACCGTCAAATGTTACCTGATTTATTATCATTTTTATCACAATGGTCTGAGAATAGTTGCGAACTTTGAACGTCGCGGCGGATGTTGTACTCGTGCTGAAGCGCGCCAATTTTTATTAGCTTAGATCATCAACATTTATGTTATTTTAACGCGTTTTTTCGATTTATTTATACGACTTAAATTACATGTTTTTTTATAACAGACCGCAATGTTATTGGATATACTATATATTGAGTATAGTTGGTATAATAACGTTCAATTATATTATTTTTTATTTTGAAATAAAAAATATATCATCGAAGTTAAACAAAAAAAAAAAAACCTAACTTTATTAAAATACTATAGCATTAATTTGTATATTATAATTGTAATAATACGAATATTAACAACGTTTATCGAGGTTTTTATTACATATACTAATTATAAGATATAGAGCATTGTCTATTGCGGTTTCGTTAAATTCCGTTTTAAAAAAATGTATACTCCGTTATTTCTTTAATTTTTTCTATATGATACCATCGATTATTGATTTTCCATTAGGGATTGATTAAATTAATTATATTTTAAATATCATAATATAACAATATTTAACTATACTTAGTTATAAAAATATAATAATTCAAATAATAATGTTTTTTATTATTTTTTTTTTTTAAACACGAACTACGTCATATTTACGTTTTATTAACAAAACTATAATTTTCATTCCAGTTATATAGTTATTTCAATTGTTCTTATATAATTTTAATATATTGTTCAATTATAATACTTTCAATACTTGAGCAAAACGAACATTTACATCAAATAAGGATACTGAAGGAGGTTAAAAAGGAGGAAAAAATGTATTGTTTTTCACATTTATCTCGTTCGTTCGTCACACCGCAGTATATTTTAAGAATCTAATAAACTGGATGATTATATAAACTTAAAATAATCATCCCAAAGATTTTTAAAACAATCGTGTTCTAGTTTAGCATAATGATATTTGAACGTCAAATTTACTTTTTAAGTTGATCGGAAAATATAAAAAGATTTATCGAATAACGTAATAATTCACACGGTATTATATTAAATTCGTGTCTAAATTAAATACTGAACTAATTTACGGTGGTTGTACGGGGTACTGCCAAATAAATAATTAACTCGTCCACTATGCTCAATAATTCATACCTAACATTCGATGCCTTGGAGCCAATGCGTCTTAAATTCAATACCTGGATTCTATCAAACTGTCAATCGAGAATGATAATTGTATCGTACCTATAATATTATTGTAACGATACGTGAGACGTCCCGGAAAAATAATGATGATTGATAGTATTCAAATTTTAATGCGAGAGGCATCGGTTTGCCGATGATCTTAGACGATTTTTTCTTAGTACTTGATTTGTTTTATTTAACAGATAAAAGTATTTTAATATAAAACAATACATTTAATAATAAAAATAAAATAATATTTTACTTTTACTATAATATTAATTTTTAAGGTCATTTTTGGCTACTTTTGAAAGCATTTTAATATAGATCTTATTATATCTCCGCTTAACAATCGGACGCGAGGAACTTTCGAAAAAATCGCATCCAGCATGAGTAGTGGCTTAACTTTTGTTACGAAATGAATGACGATCAGTCCGTAATGCATATTGATTCAGAAACCGTGATAAAACTCAAAAATATCAATTTCCGCTGATCAACTATCGAAGAATTCATTTGAAGAGTTCAAGTTAAATATATTGTACTCGATTTTAATTTTGTTCGAAAAAGTCAATGTGGAAAACCTCACCAAGAACAGCGTCTCATTTTAAGATATAAGCATGAATTATGATACTATTCGTGTTGGAAAATAATAAAAACCTCGATAGCAAAATAATAATGACATGTTAGAGATCTTACATCGTTTTAAATGAAGCAATATAATTTCGTCCAACAAATATAAATTACGAGCAATCGTAATGATAATATAATAAACAAAAGTCGTTGAATTTCGCGATGTAAGCGTCCGTAAAGCGTTGTTCTTGAACGGAAAAACAAATATTAACGTTTATAAAATGTTCAGATAATCGAACGATGTGTGAGGAAGAGAAAAAAAGGATAAAAAGAAAAAAAATGTAACGACTAAACGGCGACGTGACGACGGAATGATTTTATGTGCAAGAAAAAAAAAAAGTGATAAACAAAACAGACATTATTAAATAATATATTATAAAAAACACGATCAGTGTGATGTGCTTACCGGATGGGAAAATGTGCGCGACGAGAAGGACGAAAGTCGCGGCACGCCGGCGAAACATGTCGAGGGTTGCGCGTCTAACCGATACTGACGATATCCGGCGACTGTGCCGACACCCCTGACCAGGCTTAATACACTCCGGCAAAACGCGCCCCCCGGTAGTGCGTTACGTTTCCCATCCCCGGTCGCGTCCAAAACCCATCTGCCACCCCCTTGGTTTGCGCGCGATAATTGTAACGGCAATAATACACGACGGCACAGTACACCATAGCGATACAACGACGTTCGGCTCTCCTCACCATCGATAATAAAGCCTAATAATTGTTAACGCGTTTACTATCACCACGCGTTACTCGTGCTAGTTTGTTTTACGAACATTACGACAGACCGCTATGAAAATGTTGTAACGAAATCTTCGGTGTTGTAACCCTTCTTTTTCTTTTTCATTTTCCTCCCCTCCACCGAACGCTCCCCGATCAAATGTTATAATAATATATAACGTGACGTGTTATGTAAATCGACGGAAGCCGAGCATAAAAGTTTTCGAATATTGTTTGGTGGGAGAAATCGGCACATTTCTTTTGAAATATTTACGTATAAACGTTTTCTACGCTCCGTGAACTTTTTAAAACTCATAGATAAATGGTACACGATCATGTGTAACCGTCTAGATAAAGATGAATAATCGGCTATATTTTATCCGAATCGGAAAAATGAAAAGTAGGTACATTTCACTCCCCCCTCCCCTTGATATGTATATTCACGAACGTACGAGTATGCTACGGACGTATAATTAATAATGAAAAATGATAGTCGTGATGCTTCTATAGTATATAGTACAGATTTGATCTCTGAAAAGTTTTAAAAGTACGTGATACTTAAAAGTTGGTCCAGGGCTTAATGCTTCGTATACCAACGACAGCAAGGCTAAAATAAGGATGTATACATGCGATTACGTGACGCTTGATGGTGATCCTGTCCATGGATCTAAAATTAAAATAATTATTTACTTACAATTATCTAGGTGAAAAACTACGTTGCGTGGGACAAATCCATTTATTGTAAATTCATAGCACACTTCTTTATATTTTTTTTTTCTGAAAGAGGATAACATTATTTTTGTTATATTGATAATTTTTTAAAGCTAAACAATAATCTCAAATTTTGCAAATATTAACACGTAAATAATTTTCAATTCATTAGTGTTAGGGAAAAAAATAAAATCACATCATATTTTTCCCTTTAAAATAGAAAAGAAAATCGATTGTCTACTGTGTCTACTGTGAATTTTCACTCTTTTTTTCTCGCATATATCTAGGCTTAAATTATGAGTCATTAGAAGTAAAAAACACGCTTGAAATCGTAATCATATTATGTTCCCTGTTTTACGTTAATCCGTTCAATGCGACAGCTCAAAAAATACTGATTTCCATGTCACCGAAAGTAAATAAATAGTAATACAGTTTTGATCCAAGAAGAATAACTAACAACGCCGTAAACGTCAATGATATTTTTTAAATACCGCGCGCGCACGCGTATACTTATACCTTTAATCATTTAATAAAATCTATTTTAACAAATTTATTTGACCTCAACGGCTGTAAATGATCGTCGTTATTTCTTATCGATTTTCAAATCACTAAGATAAATACAACAGTTTAATACAATACAATAACTATTGGTATTGTTTAAAATAATTACCATATACTTCGTATCACATTCGGTTGACAACAAATCTCATAACACTGATGGTTTCCGCTTTATTGTAAATAATATTTCTCTATATCATTGTAATATTATCATGGCATAGGCCTATGAACTAAACATAAGGGGTTCGCGATATATCACGTAGTTCTGTACACACTGTACGTGAATATTTCCAGCCGACATAAAATTACATAAACAACGTGTGCAACAATTAACTAGAAATTAACTAGCTGAAAGGAATGTAGCCAAATTTTCCAATTACTCTTTAGTCAGTCGATATTTATTTTCTTCGTGGCTCGTTTAAAAGCAAATTAAACATTTCTTGTAGAAGCATCTCCGTTCGGGTAATATAGATACACGTATAGATTTGCACACCATGTGTTGTTCGACAATCCAAAAAACAAAGAAACTACAATAACGTACTTGTCCCCAGCCCCTCCTCCCCACATTGAAATTCTCCCTTTTTTTTTTGACAATTATTTAGCATGTAATTAGCATGTATTTGCATGCTAACTTTTATAATTCGTACAAACATAGTAACAAGGTGATAGGGCTGTAGATATGTGTCTCCGATTTCCCTACAAATCAAAAACACCTCTTAAAAAGCCAATAATTATTTAGCATGTAATTAGCGTGTATTTGCACGGTTGGTTACGCAACTCTATCATCATCCATTGGTTCGAAAAATCTGTTTACTTGATTCGCATGTATCCCCAGCAACCCCCCATAACATTACACGAAATAATTGTTCATATCATATTCCGAAAATAAAAATGGTACTTAATTGTTTTTTAACTATTTTAGTTTTTAAACATAAGATTTTTAAATGCAATTTTGTTTGATAGGTAATATTTAATAATTATTACATATATACTTATTTTGTATTGTTACGGTCTTGTTCGACGATTTGAAAAAAGAACCGAATCCAGTGAAATAGTCTGCTATTGTAACCTTTGAATTTTTAATATACATTGTATAATTGATAATTATATTAAAATAAATAAAAAAATAAAATTGTATAATCTTCTTCCTTACGCTCTATTTTATTAAAATTGTTTGCACTCATAAAAACAAATTAAAACAAATCGACAATTTTTTTTAGATTAATAGCAATTAATGTTAATATATGTATTAAGCTATTAGGATACAATTCATTATTAATAGATAATAAACAGTTATTATAAACTTATTATTATTTAAATACTTAATATCTAAGGTCCACGATATAGTCATGTAAACATGCGAATGATATTCAAAAATGCATTTATCTATTGAAATTTTAATATTTACATATTTTAATACTTGAATAAATAATAACAATTCGTATCAAACAATAAAAAAAAAATCATAAATATAGTTGTCTCTTATTTACATATTCTATAGTATGTATCGCTATCGCTGTACACGAATATGGAAAAAAGTATTTGTATTTCTTATGAGTCGATTGCAGATTCCATTTTTATAAAAAATATTCCATTATTTTAATTTTAAATATATGAGGTACTAGAATTGAGTGTGAAATGTGTGTGGAATAATTATGATCTGAGTGTTTATTTTAATTTTAACACTAAATTATTCGCAGAGATTTTATTGAAAATCGTTTATCACCGAAAGTGCATTTTTATTAACATTATACTTTCGGTTATGGAAATCTGTAGGATGATTACCATAATACAGAGTTCAACATTTTCACAAGTGTTCTACATAAAATGTATAGGAATTAATTTTTCCTCCTTTAAGAGGAGAACAATTTAAAGTTTTAAGATGGTAATACCTAGGCCGGTTAAAAAATATTTTCCAATTAAAAATCGTACACATTTAACATGGTAATTCGTTCTCGAACAAACACTCGATAAAATAATACCTCCATGGTATTATGATGCAGTGGACCAAAACTACTCCCCTTTATTAACGAATAACGTGATTGAAGTTCAAAAATTTTATATTGTTGCCTCGGCAGGAACTATTATAACTGTTTATAATTTTAAATTGAAGACTATAATACATTGTTTACACTTAGTAGGTAGTGTGAATAACCAATCAATAATTCTGTATAAAGATTTGAATATTAAATTAGAAGCAATTTAATAATGGCTTACGAAACTTATCAAATATACACATAATTTGCATTGCTAGCCCTGTGCCGAATTGAAAATATAATGAAAATGTGTTAAGTATTCAATATTGTGATTGGAAACCGTAAATCATCTATGAAACACGTAAGTTAAACGCGTTTATTTTGTATACACATACAATCCGTGGTAATTCGTTCTAACACTCGAATATGGTTAATAGAAATATTTAATTGTTATTAAAAAAAAAAAAAAAAATATGTATGCCTACTGATTGAAGTCGATAATGCAATAAAAATACTAAACCTACCCGTAAAATGTAATTATCAGCGAATCACGCGTAACTGTTAAGATTAAAATTGTTTTTTTTAGCGCAATTTATTCATTAATAATTTTTTTTTTTTTTTTATGTATTAACTTCCTCTATAGTACAGATTTTGAATGAAACGATAAAACTCGACGACGGTGCGGCCATTGTTATTATAAAATTATTATTATTAATAACGGTTATTGTTAGCCATTTACGATAAATAACAATTGTAATACCATAGCTTTGAACGTATTGCATAATTGTAGATAAAAGCACTACCGAACTTTGTTATTTTAAACAATGAGTAGTACGATTTAATGCGGTTAAATTTAAAGTTTAAATGATTACGTAAACTAAAAAAAAATACACCAACCCAGTATTTACAGCTGGTACTTATATTGTAATATAGTCACAATGATATTTAAATGTATTTGTTTGTTATTCTTTCACTAAATGAAAAGCGACGTTAAAAATATCAATTACGAGTATTTAGCAATTACTACACTGCGTCAGTGCAAGTGTAATACTATTACAATAAACTTTTACGAAGGTGCACCGGGTGTATGAACGAATTCGTGTAATTACCTCGCAAGACTGTGATGGGATTAAAATTCAATCCTAACGTTATTATCAAAACGCAAAATGAAAATGTTTGGGTTAGTAGAGCCGGGCATTAGACGTATAAAATATTATTCGACTAGTAATTTGAAGACAAATTAATCTTTAGCATTTTATTTTATTAGATTATTCTTGTTAATTTTTATTTGTCATCTTTTAATTGAAATGTGTCGTAAACAACATGAAATTCCAACCCTATTGAAATCGATCCGTTGCGTATTTATAATTTATTATCAAGTGCTATCAAAAATTAATTCAAAAATGTTAAAAGTTATTGTTATCGATTATTGGCTTGTCCTAACACGATCGCTGTTATTACTTTTTATATTATTAACATTGTTATTATAATGGTATTATCATTTTTTTATACGCATCGATTTATTATTATTCACAATTCATTCAGTA